CTTTCTTGGCACATCTTTGATCATTGCAAGTCCAAGAAACAGAGAGTGGCTAGTCAAAGCAGTACTGAAGCAGAGTATCGTGCAATGGCTCGTGCTACGGATGAACTCATTTGGGTCCAACAGTTACTAACAGCTATGCGTATACCGGTTCAGACTCAAGTCAAGCTGTTTTGTGACAATAAGTCAGCTATGCATATTGCCAACAACCCCGTCTTCCACGAAAGAACAAAACATGTTGAAATAGATTGTCATACTACTAGAGACCAGATCAAGAGTGGTTTTCTCAAGGTTCTACATGTCACAACTGATAATCAGCTAGCAGATATCTTGACTAAGCCGCTACATCCAGGTCCTTTTCGTTCTCTTCTCAATCGCTTGTCGATTTCAAGTCTCTTCCTTCACAAGGATGATTCAGTTTCAGAGACTTGAGGGGGGGTCTATTGGGATATTTAATCTTGTATTTTAGTTAGCTTAAGTCTCCTTTAGCTTGATGCTAACTATATATATTTGTAACAATCACATTTATAGGTTGATGAGAATTCCTAAATACAAAATTGATTCTCTCTCATAAAGTTGTTATTAACAATCAACAAACAAGAAATTGGATTTTCTAAAAATCAAATCTCCCACTTTATGTAAAAGCGTTTAAACGGTCAAGGAGCTTCCACTATATCTTGTTGTTTCTTGCCAAAAGTTGAAGTCAATAAGACATAGGAATACATGTTTTTATATTGATTAAGCGCATAAAAGAAACATGGGGTTAAAGAAAATAGAAAAGGGGGAAAAAATTGAAATAAACAAAGGCAAAACTAAAAAGAAGACGCGCTTGGGTTATTATTCAGTACATGTCATTAACATAGCATTTAACATTGACAAATGAAATTCTACAGTTGGATCATATCGACATCTACAAATTTACTTATTCTCAGAAATATTCTTAATCAATGCAGAAACAAAGGGTAGTCATATATCTTCTTCTTCGAGCCAATGGTTACAAGGTTCCCATTGATGTTCCTCCTTGTTTCCCATTTATTCGTCTTAGGTACGGTCGTTTCCATGATTCGAGATAATTACATTTTTAATTTAGTCACTATATATGATGATTTTTCCTTTTATAAATATTTTTTTTAATCGCAGGAGTAATGTCAAGAAACTTTACTATAGAGAACAAATGCGCTTACACTGTCTGGCCAGGATTCCTAACCATGACTACTGCGGTTTCGCTACCCACCACCGGCTTCTCCCTTAAGAAAGGGGAGACGCGTGTCATCAATGTGCCATCGTCATGGTCAGGTCGTTTGTGGGGTAGATCGCTTTGCTCAACCAGCTCAACAGGAAATTTCTCATGTGCCACAGGAGACTGCGGCTCTGGAAAAATTGAGTGCTCTGGAGGCGCAGCAGCGCCTCCAACAACGCTAATCGATTTTACCCTCGACGGTTCCAAAGGTCAAGACTTCTACGATGTAAGCGTTGTGGATGGTTACAACCTTCCGTTGGTTGTAGTCCCACAGGGTTCAGGGAGAGGCCGGACATGCAGCAGCGTTGGTTGCGTGGTCAACTGAACAAGACGTGTCCGTCGGAGCTTAAGGTGATGGGAAGCTCTGACAAGGAACATCCCATCGCTTGCATGAACGCTTGTGAAAAATTCCGGTTGCCGGAGTTCTGCTGCTACGGTGAGTACGGCACACCTGAAAAATGCCAACCGACGCTTTACTCGAAGAATTTTTCAAGAACGATTGTCCACTCGCTTATAGCTATGCTTATGACAATGAAAACAGCACCGTCAGATGCTCAAACTCACCTGACTATGTCATCACCTTTTGCCCGTAAGTCTCCGTATATACCTCTCCTCTTGTCACTTTCAGCTTTAATTTTGACCATTTAATTATTCTAGTTATATTTTCTAGAACGTTAATACTGGAAATAATCAATAATTACAATGCGTGTGGTGATTATAGTTGTGTCAAAATACGTAACACAACCCGATGCAACTCATCACGCTAATGAGTTCATGCCATATGCCTCATACCCATGTTTAGAATATGATCCAATGTTATAGAAATCCATAATACCAAATAATTTTGTAAAAATTGGTTGTCTATATGTTTAATTTTCCATCTAGCTTTAAGTCGTCAAAATAATGGTGTTTAAACATTTTTCAGCTTGGGTCAAATATGTTAAAAATCGTTTAGGAAAAGAAAAAAAATAATTAGAAAAAACAAAAAATTTAATGTTTCTTAATCTGTGTGCAAAACTCTAGAATGACACTCTTTGTGAAACAGAGGAAGTAATACAGACTAAAACATTGGTATTTCTTACAAACTAATATGTAATAATGTCACTTGTTGGATAGCAACGACATAAGCTCAGCGTCTCAACCATCCAAGGAAACTAATGGAGGAACAAAACGTAAGTTTATTTGATTTATTTCTCATACATTATGTTTTTTTTTTTGCTTAACAAGACTTCTTATTTGAAATTTTTTACAGAAAAATCATCATGGAAGTTAAAACTCATACTTGGTACCATTCTCGCTCAATCCATAGTACTTTTGTATACAAAAAGCACCAAGATTTTTATTCTTCTTAATAGCTTATATTCTTATTCCAGGAGTCTCAGCAGCTTTAACCATGATGATCATAATTGTGGTCTTAATAATTGTGAGAACAAAGAATGTGAGAAATAGTGATTGGAATGATCAGAACGTTGAAGCAGTTGCAATGTTGAAACGATATAGTTATACAAGAGTCAAGAAGATGACAAAATCATTTGTGCATGTTCTCGGAAAAGGAGGATTTGGAACTGTCTACAAAGGAAATTTACCCGATAGCGGTCGAGATGTTGCAGTGAAGATCTTGAAGGAGTCAGAGGGGGATGGAGAAGAGTTCATCAATGAAGTAGCTAGCATGAGTAGAACATCTCATGTAAATATTGTTTCTCTGCTTGGATTCTGTTATGAAAGGAACAAGAGAGCTATAATCTATGAGTTTATGCCGAATGGATCCCTCGACAAGTATATTTCTGCGAATATGTCAACGAAGATGGAATGGGAAAGATTATATGACATTGCGGTAGGTATCTCTCGCGGCCTAGAGTATTTACACAATCGTTGTGTCACAAGGATTGTGCATTTCGACATAAAGCCGCAGAACATATTGATGGACGGAAATCTTTGCCCTAAGATTTCAGATTTTGGTCTTGCTAAACTCTGCAAAAATAAGGAGAGCATCATATCAATGCTACACATGAGAGGAACCTTTGGATACATTGCTCCTGAAATGTTTTCCAAGAATTTTGGAGCAGTTTCGCATAAGTCAGATGTTTATAGTTATGGAATGGTACTTCTTGAGATGATTGGAGCAAAGAATATAGAAAAGGTTGAATATTCTGGATCCAACAATAGTTCAATGTACTTTCCAGATTGGGTCTATAAAGATTTTGAGAGGGGACAAATCACAAGGATTTTTGGAGATAGTATAACTGATGAAGAAGAGAAAATTGCAAAGAAATTGGTATTGGTTGCTCTATGGTGTATTCAGACGAATCCATCTGACCGTCCATCAATGATCAAAGTCATTGAAATGTTAGAGGGAAATCTAGAGGCTCTCCAAGTTCCACCTAATCCTCTCTTGTTTTCACCCGCGGAAACGGTTCCAGAAATTCTTGAAGATAGTGATGAGACTTCAACCTTCTTTAATCCAAGTTCCTTTGGAAGTGATACTCTCTTAACTAGTGAAGATGCTTTACAACATGGGTCAAGGTCCTCCTAAACTAAAGTCAAAGAATAGCTCAAGATCTTGACAAGTTTTAAGAGATCCACTCTCCGGTTGACTTTATCGTGAGCTAACAATTAATGTGCATATTTGTTGTAGTATCTTCTCGATTAGTTTTTAAAAACTTCTGACTTAATAGTGTTGATTCTATGCTTATTAGATGATGTTTATTGACGCAGACACTCACTATTGTTGGTTAATGAAGAATATTTTATGTTCTTTTTCTTGGAAACGGTACAAGATGCTTTGGAAAAGAGAAACGTAAATTTGAACTCCCCAAAAATAAGATAAGATATCAAGGAACTTAGATTGTGTTTCTTGATAAAATCTTACAATAGGCGTTCAATCGTTTAAAGTAACTTTTGCGCCAATTTTAATGTTCAAGTAACAAAATTCGTTAACCCCCAAAAAATGTAACCGTAGCAAAGAAAAAATCAAACTATTTTTATTTTGAAGACATATAGCATATTTTGTGGGATTGAAGTAATAATCAGCGTAGAAGCCCCCCCCTTAGTCTTATGGTTGACGAAAAATTAATTAATGCTGCTATACCAAGAAGTTTATGGTTTGAGTCCAGAATAATGCGATTTATCAATAAATATGCAGATTAATGTAACCAAGTTTACAAGAGATCTCAAGGTGTTGTGCAATTAAAGTCGTTCGCCGTGAATTTACGCATTGAAGGTGTACATAATAAGCATGGAGAAAAAGCATTGTCAGTGTTGTGGGTCGTAGTATGTCTTGGATCTAATCTAATAGGGTCGAAAGACATTGTCTGTTGTAGACTGTCTATGTTACAGTTTTCATAATTTGTAATAAATAATAAATCTAGAAATTAAAAAAGTAATGTGCAGATTAATGCAAGCAAGTTTACAAGAGATCTGAAGGCGTTGTGCAATTAGAGCCGTTCGCCGTGAATTTAAGCATTGAAGGTGTACATCATAAGCATGAAGAAAAAGTATTTTCAGTGTTGTGGGTCCACTACAAAAAATTTCCACATTGATAGCACATGATGATAGCTCATTTTCTCTAACTGCTATGAAAGATAAGTTTTTTATTTTAATTTTATATAATAGCACTGAAACAACGCTAAGATAGAAAATCACCAAATAAAAAACTAAAATCACTCGTTCCGCCAAAACTTAGCGAAATAATTCACTTAGCGCCATATGGCTCTGATCCAAAAAAATTAAAGCCAAAGTCCAAAAAAATAAAACCCTTCACTTTACCCTATAGAAAACATATCTCCAAAAAAAAAAACATCCCAAATCGAAGAAAGAGATTTGGGATTTCGTGTGAAGCTCGTCGCCGACCTCCACCGTGAAGCTCGTTGCCGGCCTCCACCGTAAAGCTCGTCGCCGGCCTCCACCCTAATTTCTATATATCTTCTCCATCCTCTTTCTCTCCTTTACCTCTTCGCTTTCTTCCTCGATTCTTCTTTTCTTCCTAGATTATTCCCTTCTCCTTAGCTCTCCTTTACCTCTTCACTCTCTTCATACGATTATACAGCTCTGGATATATTGGATTTTGATTTCGTTGGCCTGAAACCCCAAACCAGTTTCGACGCTCGGTGCTTCACCATTCAATTAAGTCAGCCTCCTCCCTCTTTATTCTTTTCTTTTTCCTCCGCATGTACTATTTTGTTAGGGTTCAATTGATTTATGAGCACTTGAGTTAGATTTTGTTAGGGTTCAGTTGATCTATTTGGGTTAGATTGATTTCTTAGAAGCTTTTGGCCGAAGTTCTGATGATGCTTTTCATGCCCTCCAGGTGTTCGACGAATTGCCTCATTATTGGCTTGCTTGTTTCTTAACATTATTTGTCGTTCTGTAAGCTGATTCCTATTAGCTATACATATCTTATTTGATATTAGTATTACTAGAACTGTTTTGTGAATAAAAATCTAATTGTTGTGAATAAAAATTAGAGTTTTGAAATGTTTTGTGTTGATTTTTGTTTTGTGGTGTTGATGCTGAAACTTGCAGGTGCTTAAGATTCTACCTTTGAGGTCATTAACAGGTAGAACAGTAGAGAAGAGGTCTGGTTTTTCTTTGGAAGGTCCTTAAGATTTTAATTAGTTGGTCTCGAGGTACAATTATCAACTCATATATGATTATTGCTATCTCCACAATTGTCCACTTTTGTTTTAGCTTTTTGTGTGCATACCTAAATGTTTTAGCTTTTTGTTGTTTATTCTTGTTTTGTTCACAGGAAACATTATTGCAATCTCCACAATTGTCCACCGTTGAGAAAATCAGAGATTGAGTACTACGCAATGCTTGCTAAAGTTGGTGTTCACCATTACAATGGAAGTAAGTTCGTTTCTTCTTTAGCCCATGTAGTTTTTAAGCTTCATTGTCCCCTTCTTTGTATTTAGGTTCCATTGGGTATAATAACTGAGAATGTATTATCCTAAGTAGATGAAAGTGTAATAATCTGCTTATATGGACCATTAAGCTGATTATGAAAGTATGATTCTAAGTAGAGTAGACTGTTATGTTTAATTGACATAAAGTGTTGATCTTTCGCAAGATCAGGAACTGCTTGAATTGCTATTGTTGTCTCTATATGTGTTTCAGATTGATTGTTGTGTTCTGACATAATATTTTATTGTCTAGACAAATATCCAAAATCCATTTTAAATGTTGGATCTGTTATATCCTTAATATATCTTGTTGCTTTTGTTTCTTTTGTCACCTATTACATTATCATGTAATATTTTATCTAATCATGATGATAGACTGGTACAACATATGTGTTTACGATGAAATGCTTCTACGAACAATGATTCAACGATGAAGTTCTCTCTGCAACAGTCAGATCCACAATGGACAGTTTTAATTTGCATATACGACATCCGATGGACAAGCTCTTTCCACAATACACGAACCACGACGGATGGCACTGTCTGCAGTACTCTTACTATTCAAACCTCCGATAAACTTTGTATTAACAATCAACAAGAAATTGGATTTTCTAAAAATCAAATCTCCCACTTCATGTAAAAGCGTTTAAACGGTCAAGGAGCTTCCACTATATCTTGTTGTTTCTTGCCAAAAGTTGAAGTCAATAAGACATAGGAATACATGTTTTTATATTGATTAAGCGCATAAAAGAAACATGGGGTTAAAGAAAATAGAAAAGGGGAAAAAAATTGAAATAAACAAAGGCAAAACTAAAAAGAAGACGCGCTTGATTCATCGACATAAAAAAAGACAAAAATTTTCGATATGACCCATACGACCCATAACAAAAAAAAACTGAAAAATGAAAAGGGAAAGTTTTTTCATAGGTTTCGTCAACTCTTAGTAGAGAGAGAGAGAGAATGGATCCATGATTCCGTGCGGTCACTTTAATCATTCAGTAAACTGCTATGGGCGTTGCTGATTGCTGAATCATCTTAACCAACCTTTCTCAATACTTCTTAGAGCGAGTCTACAACTTTAGAAGGTAAACCAAATATTAAAAGAACTTGCTGTCGATCTTAAGCTTACCTTGTTCCATTTGCTGCTCTTGTTTAGTGTCTCGGTTTTCGCTTAGGGGAGTCTTTAGATCAACTCGAATACATTCATCGGATCCGAGCTTCCCAAGCTCTATGCTGTAATTGGGGAACTCTGCAAGGATCTTGCCACCTTCTTGATTTACAACCTCATCTCTTAAAGTTTAGTTGATGCATTGAATCTAGAATGGTTTAAGTTTCCATGTTTTTAAAAAAAATTTAATATATGAAAAGAATTAGAGGCAAGTTTCTTTAAAGAATTGAGACAACGATGTAATGTCCTAACCAAATATGTTTTACTGGATAGATGGGTTATTATTCAGTACATAAGCATAGCATTTAACATTGACAAATGAAATTCTACAGTTGGATCATATCGACATCTACAAATTTACTTATTCTCAGAAACATTCTTAATCAATGCAGAAACAAAGGGTAGTCATATATCTTCTTCTTCGAGCCAATGGTTGCAAGGTTCCCATTGATGTTCCTCCTTGTTTCCCATTTATTCGTCTTAGGTACGGTCGTTTCCATGATTCGAGATAATTACATTTTTAATTTAGTCACTATATATGATGATTTTTCCTTTTATAAATATTTTTTTTAATCGCAGGAGTAATGTCAAGAAACTTTACTATAGAGAACAAATGCGCTTACACTGTCTGGCCAGGATTCCTAACCATGACTACTGCGGTTTCGCTACCCACCACCGGCTTCTCCCTTAAGAAAGGGGAGACGCGTGTCATCAATGTGCCATCGTCATGGTCAGGTCGTTTGTGGGGTAGATCGCTTTGCTCAACCAGCTCAACAGGAAATTTCTCATGTGCCACAGGAGACTGCGGCTCTGGAAAAATTGAGTGCTCTGGAGGCACAGCAGCGCTTCCAACAACGCTAATCGATTTTACCCTCGACGGTTCCAAAGGTCAAGACTTCTACGATGTAAGCGTTGTGGATGGTTACAACCTTCCGTTGGTTGTAGTCCCACAGGGTTCAGGGAGAGGCCGGACATGCAGCAGCGTTGGTTGCGTGGTCAACCTGAACAAGACGTGTCCGTTGGAGCTTAAGGTGATGGGAAGCTCTGACAAGGAACATCCCATCGCTTGCATGAACGCTTGTGAAAAATTCCGGTTGCCGGAGTTCTGCTGCTACGGTGAGTACGGCACACCTGAAAAATGCCAACCGACGCTTTACTCGAAGAATTTCAAGAACGATTGTCCACTCGCTTATAGCTATGCTTATGACAATGAAAACAGCACCGTCAGATGCTCAAACTCACCTAACTATGTCATAACCTTTTGCCCGTAAGTCTCCGTATATACCTCTCCTCTAGTCACTTTCAGCTTTAATTTTGAGCATTTAATTATCCTAGTTATATTTTCTAGAATGTTAATAGTGGAAATATTCAATAATTACAATGCGTGTGGTGATTATAGTTGTGTCAAAATACGTAACACAACCCGATGCAACTCATCACGCTAATGAGTTCATGCCATATGCCTCATACCCATGTTTAGAATATGATCCAATGTTATAGAAATCCATAATACCAAATATTTTTGTAAAAATTGGTTGTCTATATGTTTAATTTTCCATCTAGCTTTAAGTCGTCAAAATAATGGTGTTTAAACATTTTTCAGCTTGGGTCAAATATGTTAATAATCGTTTAGGAAAAGAAAAAAATAATTAGTCTGGAGTTTAAGCAGTTTAGGAAATCAATATATTTGTAAGGAAGCCAATTCAATATATTAATAGGGAATTTAAAGATACTAAACATAAAACATACTCCCTCCGTTTCATAAAAAGTATCGTTTTAAGGTTTTATTTTTGTTTCACAAAGAGTGTCGTTTTAGGTTTTCAATGCAAAATTTAATGATTTTTTTATGTTTTATGACCATTAATATTCTACAGATTGTTTTACTATTGGGCAGATTATGTTTAGGTATATAGTTAATGATGTTTTTGTTTAGAAAAAACAAAAAATTTAATGTTTTCTTAATTTGTGTGCAAAACTCTAGAATGACACTCTTTGTGAAACAGAGGAAGTAATACAGACTAAAACATTGGTATTTCTTACAAACTAATATGTAATAATGTCACTTGTTGGATAGCAACGACATAAGCTCAGCGTCTCAACCATCCAAGGAAACTAATGGAGGAACAAAACGTAAGTTTATTTGATTTATTTCTCATACATTATGTTTTTTTTTTTGCTTAACAAGACTTCTTATTTGAAATTTTTTACAGAAAAATCATCATGGAAGTTAAAACTCATACTTGGTACCATTCTCGCTCAATCCATAGTACTTTTGTATACAAAAAGCACCAAGATTTTTATTCTTCTTAATAGCTTATATTCTTATTCCAGGAGTCTCAGCAGCTTTAACCATGATGATCATAATTGTGGTCTTAATAATTGTGAGAGCAAAGAATGTGAGAAATAGTGATTGGAATGATCAGAACGTTGAAGCAGTTGCAATGTTGAAACGATATAGTTATACAAGAGTCAAGAAGATGACAAACTCATTTGTGCATGTTCTCGGAAAAGGAGGATTTGGAACTGTCTACAAAGGAAATTTACCCGATAGCGGTCGAGATGTTGCAGTGAAGATCTTGAAGGAGTCAGAGGGGGATGGAGAAGAGTTCATCAATGAAGTAGCTAGCATGAGTAGAACATCTCATGTAAATATTGTTTCTCTGCTTGGATTCTGTTATGAAAGGAACAAGAGAGCTATAATCTATGAGTTTATGCCGAATGGATCCCTCGACAAGTATATTTCTGCGAATATGTCAACGAAGATGGAATGGGAAAGATTATATGACATTGCGGTAGGTATCTCTCGCGGCCTAGAGTATTTACACAATCGTTGTGTCACAAGGATTGTGCATTTCGACATAAAGCCGCAGAACATATTGATGGACGGAAATCTTTGCCCTAAGATTTCAGATTTTGGTCTTGCTAAACTCTGCAAAAATAAGGAGAGCATCATATCAATGCTACACATGAGAGGAACCTTTGGATACATTGCTCCTGAAATGTTTTCCAAGAATTTTGGAGCAGTTTCGCATAAGTCAGATGTTTATAGTTATGGAATGGTACTTCTTGAGATGATTGGAGCAAAGAATATAGAAAAGGTTGAATATTCTGGATCCAACAATAGTTCAATGTACTTTCCAGATTGGGTCTATAAAGATTTTGAGAGGGGACAAATCACAAGGATTTTTGGAGATAGTATAACTGATGAAGAAGAGAAAATTGCAAAGAAATTGGTATTGGTTGCTCTATGGTGTATTCAGACGAATCCATCTGACCGTCCATCAATGATCAAAGTCATTGAAATGTTAGAGGGAAATCTAGAGGCTCTCCAAGTTCCACCTAATCCTCTCTTGTTTTCACCCGCGGAAACGGTTCCAGAAATTCTTGAAGATAGTGATGAGACTTCAACCTTCTTTAATCCAAGTTCCTTTGGAAGTGATACTCTCTTAACTAGTGAAGATGCTTTACAACATGGGTCAAGGTCCTCCTAAACTAAAGTCAAAGAATAGCTCAAGATCTTGACAAGTTTTAAGAGATCCACTCTCCGGTTGACTTTATCGTGAGCTAACAATTAATGTGCATATTTGTTGTAGTATCTTCTCGATTAGTTTTTAAAAACTTCTGACTTAATAGTGTTGATTCTATGCTTATTAGATGATGTTTATTGACGCAGACACTCACTATTGTTGGTTAATGAAGAATATTTTATGTTCTTTTTCTTGGAAACGGTACAAGATGCTTTGGAAAAGAGAAACGTAAATTTGAACTCCCCAAAAATAAGATAAGATATCAAGGAACTTAGATTGTGTTTCTTGATAAAATCTTACAATAGGCGTTCAATCGTTTAAAGTAACTTTTGCGCCAATTTTAATGTTCAAGTAACAAAATTCGTTAACCCCCAAAAAATGTAACCGTAGCAAAGAAAAAATCAAACTATTTTTATTTTGAAGACATATAGCATATTTTGTGGGATTGAAGTAATAATCAGCGTAGAAGCCCCCCCCCTTAGTCTTATGGTTGACGAAAAATTAATTAATGCTGCTATACCAAGAGGTCTAGGGTTTGAGTCCAGAATAATGCGATTTAAATATGTAGATTAATGCACATACCAGGGGGTAAATTGTATGGAGTTAGGATCACTGGCCACAACGAATGATTACGAGACATGCCAAATGGATTGAACCCATCTGTGCATAATCCAAGATAAACATTACGAGGTTCTTCGGTAAACCGGGGATGTTGCTCTTGGAAATATTTCCACTCGGCCGCATCAGAAGGATGATTCATTTTTCCCTCCTTTGATTGATGCTCTGCATGCCATCGCATTGCCGCTGCTGTCTTGTGGCTCTGATACATTCTCTTCAATCGGTCACCAATAGGTAGATACCACATACGACTATATGGTACTTTGGTTCTTCGACGGTCATCCTTAGGCTTCCATCTTTGTGCACCACAAAACCGACATTGATCTTCCTTTTCATTTTCTTTCCAGAAAAGCATACAATTGTTCATACAAACATCAATTGTATGATAAGGAAGACCTAAATTGCGCATCAATTTCTCGGTATGGTAATGCGAACCGGTTGCCTGGTTTCCTTCTGGTAAAAAATCAGTCAACATTTGGCAAACCGAATCCACACATTTTTCACTCATATTATGATCCGCTTTGTTTTGCATGACTCGAGCAGCTAACGATAACTGCGACTGGCCTTCACGACAACCATCGTATAATGGATTTTTTGCACCTTCTAACAAGTCGTAGAATTTCTTCGAATGGTTTAGTACCGGTTCTTCCACATTCTGATAACTAACATCCTCATAATAGTTATCATCAACCCCCACATTATAACGAAATGCATCATTCACCATATCCACATATGGATCTTCTGCTACATTACCCCCTACTTCATAATTCTCACTTACATACGTCCTATCAATGTAACTTGGTCCTATATCCATATTGAGTTCCTCTCCATGTTTATACCAAACATAATAATCTACCATAAATCCATGACTAAACAGATGACTCATAACTCTTCTACCCGAGACGATATGTTTATTGTTCTTGCAAACACTACAAGGACAGTGAAATTTACCGCGATTACTCTGGACTATAGGCTGGCTATTTGCAAACGTCAAGAATTCCTCCACACCCGCTTCAAATTCTTTTGAAAAATTTCCCATTGCTTCATCGAACCTCTTGTACATCCACTCTCGATAATTACCGCCGTCATTACCGTCATAATTGTAATTTCCCGCCATTCCTCTAGAATAAATAACTATAAACGTTTTTTTTTCTTATAAACGCTCTGCTTTTTTTTTTCTTTTAAGTGTTGATTATGTTTGTTGTAATGAAGAGAAGAGAGAGTGATTTTTGTTATATAGACAAATTTGGTGACTAAACAGCGACTAAAATACGACTATTACTTTTACTCGCCAAAAACCGGTACACCAACCCCATCTACCTCTTCATGAAAAAAACATGTTTTTTACCGGCATTTTACGACTATTTACCGACTTTTTAACGACTATTATGCGACCCGCCGAATCAGTCGCTAAATAGTCGCCTATTTAGCGACAACAGTCATTAGTCATTCAATATAGTCGCCTATTTAGCGACTACAGTCTTTAGTCATTCAATATAGTCGCCAATTTAGCGACTAAAATACGACTATAGTCGGGGTTTTAATTGTAGTCGTATAATAGTCGCTAATTAACGACTATTAGAATGACTACAGTATGTAGTCGTTAATTAGCGACAATACGACGACTATATAATTGTAGTCGTAACATTAGTCGTATAATAGTCGTATATTAGTCGTCTAATTTAGCGACTATACAATTAGTCGCCGATCGTAGTCGGTAATCGCCTGTTTTCTTGTAGTGAGATCTCAAGGTGTTGTGCAATTAAAGTCGTTCGCCGTGAATTTACGCATTTGATTGCTCGAGTAATTACCCGATACACTTAACCGCAAGGTAGTATATACGGGGTCGATCCACAAGAACCAATGGTACACTAAAGACTTCCGAGACTCGTTCTTAGCTAAAGCGGAAAGATTGTTTTGTTTTGGGTTTTCAGAATTGTAAATAAAAATGCAATTAAAATAGACGATTTATCTTCAAGATTTAAAGACATTGGGCGTTAGGATATTTCAGAGATCAACGAATAATGGAAACATGAAACCAGGAATTCAGTAATTAAGAACCGTTCTCGAACATGAACACATTTAAACCAATTCTCTTTCAAGACATTAATCACTAAATTTGACTATTCGATTACTAAACTTTCGCATGCAATTTCCTAGTCAAATTCGCATTACCAAACAAGTTCATTAAGTTCACAATGCGTCCTAACGTCAACTTTCGTTGGCTAGAAATACATTGCTCAATCCACATTCTTTCAGGCATTCTATCGAACACTTTTGATGCATAGAAAAACCTAGAATCTACAACAGGGTGATCAATCCTATTCTAGCATTAAGAACATGTGAATCAAAGAACCTAGAGAATGAGAATTCCTAACACAACCAATCCATTAATCCATTGAATCTCCTAATTGGAACCCTAAAACCCAATTGGAGAACTACTCACACATAGAGAAAGAGAAAAGACAAATAGATATGAAAGAAAACATGATTCAATAAAATAGAAAAGGAATAGGGTTTAGAAATCTTCTCCAAGTGTCAAGAGGATGGATTCCTTTGCCCAAAGTTGTTTACAAACCAAAGAACAAAGTTTAGAACTCAAAAAAGTCAAAGATAATGTCTCAAAAGTCGAGCTTAGGGTTTTAAAACAATAGGAGACGAGCCGGGTCGGATCTGGAGTGACTCGGGTCAAATCTGGGCCAAAAATACGTCTGGGGAAGGGATCGATCGATCCAAAGGAGGATCGATCGATCCAGCAGTGTCTGGAACGTTTCTCATCCATCAGGGAAGTGGATCGATCGATCCACAAAGGGATCGATCGATCTGGAGCTTCTGGTCTTCAGCTCTGCAACTGCTTCAAATGCTCGCCAGAATGACCTGTCTTCACTAATTCGGGTATAACTATTGAATGCACCGTTAGATTTCCTTCAAATCACATGGAACCTCAAGCTAACATCTGCATATAGCTTTTGTCAAAATTTCAGAAAGATCTAACGGTGGTAAGTGTTCCATCGGAGGCCAAACGTTTGATACTTCTAACCGACACTGCATCTCCAAATGTGTGTTTTTATCCCAAAACATCTCGTTTTCCTCCAAAGCAACCTAAAACCTGTAAAGAATCGATAAAGGACTAAAAGACTCTAAAAACAAACTTTGACTCTATAAAATATATGATCTAGGAAAGAAAACAAAGACTCAAAACCGATAAAAACACAACATATCAACTCCCCCCGACTTAGATCTTTGCTTGTCCTCAAGGAAAGCAGAAATCCTTATCAAGAGAAGAGGTTTGAAAACACGAGAACTCACATTTTCTTTGGGATCATGCTCTTATCAATTGCCTGCAAACCACTATCACAAAACTCATGAAACCGTACTAGACTGTACTTCGCCATAACCATAGCAACAAAATTAAGTCCCGAGATCTAAAAGAACTTTCAGAGTCAGATAACTTAACTTTTTAACATTCATTAGCAGCGGCGTGTACTCTCACAAAGGGGGTATCAAACACGTTATGGGCTTGGTAAAAAAAAGGCTAATATTCGGTGGCTCAAGTGTTTCTGGTTCTCAAACAGTGTAAAACGGATGCATGTCATTATGCGAAATCACAGTGAGACACAGACCAACTAGGAGGTACATAGCTTCCCTTAAGCTCAGATCAAATCAACCAACACACTACCCCAATCAAATCAATGCGTACCCTTGATGCTTATCAACGTAACTAATATCAACTCGACATTTCCGGTTCCATTCATTCTCCTTTCCCGTTATTCTTTTCATTTCCGTTTTTTTCTTTCTTTCTTTTTTTTTTTTTTTTTTTTTTTTTTTTTTTTTTTTTTTACGGGGGAGTGGAACCGGTGTCTCACATAATCTGCATCAAGAAAAACCGCAAGCGATAACAACATATCCCATGAATACAACCTCTAAACCATAGTGGATCAATCTCATCATATATCAGCAACCAGTAAACTACAACTCACTATCCTAACAGAAGGAAAGCTATGTCGGTCCATATACTCCGTAGTTTTTGCACATGGATGTATATCATGATGATCATATAAGAATGCATGAGGTTTCAAACAATGGGTGGGGAAACAGGTGTGGTACTAGACTAAAAATGAGTCTAGCCATTCAGAGTTAGCAAAGAGTGGTAAAAATGATGCAAACAAAACTCTGAATGTATGATCCATTACATGATTCTCAAGCCCCTAAGTGAGATAAATTAAGTCCAGATTAAGTTCAAGTATATAAGATAAAGCTCAATTCATCCGAATTTCAAAGAGATAGGGACTACTATAGAGTGATCTAGTCATGGATTTTCCTGAACTTCCAAGTTATCGAATAATGCTAAAATGGTCTCAAGGCAATGAAATCAAGCTAGGTGCAATTCCCCAAGAAAAGATCATATTCTCAAACAGATTTTGACTCAATAAAAGACACAATTTTTGACTCGATAAAAACGAACTGACTGACTCAAACGAAAACATCAAAAGAAACAACCAAAGGAAACTCGATTAGTAGACAAATGACAACCTCCCCCCGACTTGCTTCACACCGACTCGGTGTGAAAACAAT